CATAATTCTTATATGAAATAAATCAAGTAAAGGGAGATATGACCCGAAGTGTGATACTAAAAGTACCAACAATCTTATACGCAGACAATGTTGCATGTATAGCCCAATTAAAAGGTGACTATATAAAAACAAAACAAAACATATTTCATCAAAATTATTCTTCACTCATGATCTCCAAAAGAATAGTAATATTGATGTCCAACAAGTGTGTTCAAATGATAATCCTGCAAATTGATTCACCAATTACCTATCAACTTCAACACATGAGAAGATGATAATACAAGATTGGAATGCGAAAACTTGGATAAATGAATCGTGATCTTCATCAGAGAAAGTAAAATACGCATTGTACTCTTTTATTCTTTAATAAAAAAAAATTCATTGAGTTTTATAATAAGATTTTTAATGAGGTAACACTCAAGGCGTTTTATGAGATGTGTGTACTCTTTTTCCTTCATTAGGCTATTTCCCACTAAAATTTTACTAATAAAATTTTAACGAAACACGGTACCTATGAATATCCAGGGGGAGAGTATAATGAAATATTAAAATGGTGGATGTCAATGTCCATATGCACTAGTAAACTTGACTTACCAAATTACTTGAGACGGAAATTGATAGTAGATTACAATTGGAAGAATAAGAAAGCTCTTCTCCTTATTTCTATTGCTCTCACGTAGTATTTTTTTTTTAATCTTATTTTGCTTTTATTTTATATATATATATATATATATATGAGTTGTTATTACCAATGTATGTTGGTAGGTCTTTTAAGTTACAGATACAGCAAAATATAAATTATTAAAAATCGTACTATAATAACTATTTGTCTAATTTAAACGAAGCAACCAACTCCCCACCCCTCCCCTGTTGCAGAGGAATGGAATCTTCCACGTAAAAGCAAATGGATATAAATTATCAAAGTCAAATATCAGCAAAGCAAATTCACCTTTAGAAATTGGAGTTCAATTTGGGCTAAATGGGGAAAACTTGCTGCTTCTCAGAATCAGATGATGGTAATGACAACTTCAAGATAATCCTAGTGATCGTCATAGCTCTTGTATTGATGGTCATCTGCCGCTCTCCACCAAGAATGAGAGGTGTCTTGGTTTATCGCTGTTAGATCGATTTTATTTCTTTTTTTTTTCTGTTTCAATCCATATTGTATTTGTAAAAATAAAACAGTTGTTGAGTTTCAATCTCCCAATTGTGTAAAAACTTTTACCAAAGATGTATGTGTCCCTTTCATGTTAATTACCCTGTATTTGATTGAAAAAACAGAGATATTCGAAAGATGAAATGATGTTTGTGTTTCAAATGGTTTCTTCACATCTGTCAATTGTTGCCATTGACAAGAATAGATCATGAAACTCCTCTATCAATTGTTGCCATTGACACCAAATTGCCAGTTGACTTGCAGAAAAACTGATCATAGGGTCTTAAGTGCCAAACGTGATGAGGGGTTAAGAACACTTTCTTTACCTATATCATATTGGTTGTCTCTAACAAACTAAACAACAGAAACAAACACAAGATCAACTACTACTGATCATGACCGGAAGATTACGCACACAATGCAGTATTGCAGCTTTTTACAAGCGATAACCATCAAATTTACATTTAATACATGCTTCCTTACACTCAGAGATTTCATTATTCACAACAACATAAATATAAAAGGATACATTGTAAGAGAGTTCACACGTCTTACGTAAGAGTTTAGTTGAAATATTTACAAAATGATGTACACATGATAAATAACACTAATATTTACTAGTTTGCGTTTTGTACGTTCTGGAATGACCAGGATGTGTATTCAGGTTTAGCTTCTGAGATCTGAACTCGTATCACCTCATGTACCGCACCTCGATGAAGTACCCCAAGAACTTCTTCCTCCTTCCCTGTTGCAAGATCTTCTAAAGACACGGTACGTGTGATTAATTCATCACGTAGGCGAAAGCCAAACAACCACCTCCCAAGCTTCCACCATTGTACACGTACTTCCCTTTGTGAGATATTGCTGTTATTTAGGATTTCCATGACACATTCACCCTAGTAGATAAGAATGAACATCAAATAACTTCAATAAGCTAATTCTAGGTTAAAGAAACACAATTCATAGTCCACGAGAATAGAATTTTACTCAACAACAGATGACCAAGAGGGCCTGCTTAATCTTAGACTAATTCTGCAAGTCTTGGAAGTGTAACTTCCTCCATAACGTAGACCATACGCCTGATACTAGATCACGTTTAATCACTGATATAGATAAACACAGACATTAGTGCCAATTGCACCATCCACAGAAGATGGAGAGAACACATAACTCGTAAGGCTAACACTAACTGGAAGCAGCTACAACCAAACCGTACTCTGGCTAACCAATTAAATCATTTTCGCTGCAGTGACCACATTTTTACATGGTCTAACTTACAACCATAAGCTATAGATATTAATGTCTAAATTAGCTTTAGTTGCACTAGGTAGGAGTTTTGTGATCCTCAATAGAGTATACCAAAATGGTGAGTCCCGCTAAAATGCAGTGAGAGAGAGGGGGAGGCAACATATTAATTAGGTTGTATTTCAGCATGTACATCCACTTTAGGATGCAATATGTCTATCAGGAGAAGAATCAATATTTGTACAAAAGAAATAAATCAAACATTGAACAACACAAGAAAGAACAAATAAGTGAGTGGCCTAAGTTGCGCATACTCTTCACTTTCGATGCCACACCCGTGTTGGATTCTCCAAAAATGAACTACTTTTGGAGAATCAGACACGCATCCATTGATATTTTTGGAAGAGTCCAAGCAACATAATAACTACTTCACTCCAATATCATGAGTTGAGACTTAACTAACTTTTTGATACTTCAACTAGCTAGAATACAAACTCAAATCTATTTACAGTGCACAGTTGAAAGTATTCCACCTCCCGCGAAGGACAATAGAAAGTTTTAAACCACGGCAAAAAGACTGTGGTAATATGAGTCAACTAAAAGATCTAGCTCTTACGGCAGCTCAAGCAGTACACCACAAATAAAATATGTCATTTATTTCCAGCAAAGTTCATCATGTAAAAAGATTCAAGTGGTATTAACACTTAATTCACAGACAACATAAAGAAAAACCGGGTGTTAACAAATTTGTAACAAAAGCAATAAAGTAATGAAACAAATTTGTAGCGAAAAGCAGGGCATTTGATTACCGGCAAACCAAGCCAGATAAGGCAGTAGTGCAAACCAATCAAGTTCAGCAGCACATTGTGCTTGGATTTAAGGAAGAATGTATAGACATCTTCAAACCCAAAAAGGATCGAATCCAGATCTCTTACTGCTTTCAGATAATGCCCCACCTCAATCGACTCAAATGCCAAACAGCGATTGACAAAATCAATTACGCCTTTTGCTTTTCCTGCCATTTCATTGTGCTTCCTAATATAGAACACTCTCCATTCCTGCATTTTTAGGTAGACCACTCTTTGCATCAAGATACAAGGTGACTGACTGATCAATTCAAACCAAAATGGGACAGATTTGGGTGAAATATGCATTTAGTTATACTAACCTCATGGGGCTGGTTATTATAAGACTCAATCTTAAGAGCAAGAGCAGGCCATCTTTTTTTACAAAGAGATTCCCATATATAATCAGACCCACACAGCTCCCACCAAAACCGAGAACAACTTCCCAACGAGCAAAGATCACCTACCTTCAAAATTATATTTCAAAAAGCAAATTAATTCTAATAAAGTAGCAAAATCAGGAAGCTGGAAAAATAGGAAGAAAACAATTTTTAACAAACCAGAAATTCAACATAGTAATTTTTTTAAACAAAAAATATGAAGAAGAAAACGATTTTCAACACAACCCAGTAATCAGAAAGCCAATTAATTCTAACAAAGTAGCAAAATCAAGAAAAGAAAACCATTTTCAACACTCAACACAAGACAGAAAACAATAAATTCAATTCCGGATAATCTGAATGATAACAAGTAATTTTAAAGGATACAAGAAAAATTTCCATAACAACCGACTGCCGACAATAAGAAAATGGAAAAATTCAACCTCTTTAAGGAAAAAAAAAAAGGATTACCTGAAGAGAAGAAGCTATTTTGAGGGCAATATCATCGGGAATTGATTCTTGTGAAGACAAGGATGAGTCCATCGAAGCTCAGAATTTTTCTGCTCAGCGAAGCTAAAATGCGTGTCCATTTGGGAAAAAGAGATGATGTTCACCGTCCTGCTACGTCATCAAACACGTGCCATCATCCATATTATTTGACAATAATTTCTTTCAAGTACACATTTTTATTCTCTAAATTTTCTGTGTAAGTGAAATGTAATCACTTCTGATTAAGGAAATTTTACCAAGAAACCAGTAAAATTCAGATTGGGCCATTTTTAGGCTTTTGGGTTGTAAAATTCTGTGTATTGGGCCATTTGTTTTAGGCTTTTTGGGTTGTTAATGAATGATGGACAACAACGAATCATTTTCGGAATCAATGTATTATCTATACTTTCATAATACAATCTTATTATTAATTAAGAGTTTTCTACCATATATTGAGGAAGATACATTTAAATACATTTTTTCTAACGGATACACTAAAATAAGGAGGAAGGCGAGTGTATCTCAGATACATTCGAATCACACTAAATACACACTAGATACATGTATTTGTGTGTATCTAGTGTGATTCACATGTATCTGAAATATCAGATACATGTGAGAGCGAGATGAAAGAAAGGCAAGAGAGATTTGTTATGTATCCTAGATATATGTGATTTCACTTGAATACAATATATCTAGAATAAATTATATCCAATTTTGACTCATGTATCCCAAGATACATATATTTGGGCGCACCAAAATTTGATAAGACACATAATATTACAAATTAAAGTGTATTTACATAATTAACTCTTAAATTAATGAGATCCATGTAAGTTACCGTCATTTGCCCCGAAATAAAAGATCCAAGGCCCAATGGATTTATTGCTTTTGGACAGGATAAAGATTCTCCAGGTTCTCCCCTCCAATTTCAACCAATCATTCTAATTCTAGCATATGATGAGCTCAACTTCCATTTGTCATCAACCACCTCAAAAATTTATTTTTCCTATGAAATGCTACTGATTAAGACCACCAGAATTCTTGGCCAGCATCCAAGTTTCTTGAACTAGTTGAGGAAAATGTCTCTTTTTGCTCCTTCCAGTGGACTCACACTTCTTCAATCAACTAAAGATCATTACTTTAGGCAACTTTTTTCATCTCATTTCATCAATCATGTTCAGGTAAGAACAGTCCCTTATGCTACTCCTTTTCTTTCTGTCAATGTATCTGGAAGACCCTTTAGAGTTAGTTCAAGAAAACTTAAACCCATCATAGCTTCAGCTGCCTCTACTGTTGAAACCTCCAACATTTCTTTCAGAGGTAAAAATCCAAAAGATATCAATGTTTTGGTTGTGGGTTCAACTGGGTACATTGGGAAATTTGTGGTTAAGGAGTTAACCAGTAGAGGCTTCAATGCTATAGCTGTGGCTAGAGAAAAAAGTGGTATTAAAGGAAAGAATAGTAAAGATGATACCTTGGAACAGTTAAATGGAGCTAATGTGTGTTTTTCTGATGTTACCAATTTGGAGACTTTGGAGAAAAGTGTACAAGGTTTAGGGGTTTCAATTGATGTTGTTGTGTCTTGCCTTGCTAGTCGAAATGGTGGGGTAAAAGATTCTTGGAATATTGATTATGAGGCCACAAAGAATAGTCTTGTTGCTGGGAGGAAGTTTGGGGCTTCACACTTTGTTTTGCTGTCTGCAATTTGTGTGCAAAAGCCCCTTCTTGAATTTCAAAGAGCTAAGCTGAAATTCGAGGCGGAATTGATGAAAGAAGCTGAAGAAGATAATGGATTTACTTATAGTATTGTTAGACCTACTGCATTTTTCAAGAGCTTAGGAGGTCAAGTTGAATTGGTGAAAGATGGGAAACCTTATGTGATGTTTGGGGATGGAAAGTTGTGTGCTTGCAAGCCGATAAGTGAGCAAGATTTAGCTTCTTTTATTGCTGATTGTGTACTGAAAGAGGATAAAATCAATCAGGTCTTGCCAATTGGAGGACCTGGGAAGGCATTGACACCATTAGAACAAGGGGAAATGTTGTTTAAACTTGTGGGGAAAGAACCCAAATTTCTCAAGGTGCCAATTGAAATAATGGATTTTGCAATAGGATTTCTTGACTTCCTTGTAAAAATATTTCCTTCGTTGGAAGATGCGGCCGAGTTTGGGAAGATTGGTAGGTATTATGCAGCTGAGAGCATGTTGATTTGGGATCCTGAGACTGGTGAATATAATGCTGAGGCAACACCAAGTTATGGAAATGATACATTGGAAGATTTTTTCCAAAGAGTACTGAAAGAAGGAATGACTGGTCAGGAGTTGGGGGAGCAAACAATATTCTAAATACTCTATCAAAGAAGTCTTAACTAGCTACTCTCCGACAAATCGATTTTGAGGTATGCAGTTTGTCCGGCTGTAGCAGATATTGATAAGTTCACAATTTATTTATGTGCAAATTATACTCTAATATGAATACATGCTACATTTTGGAATGTTAAGCAGCTTACTTATAATGTGCACATATCTCAGTAGTTACTTTCTGTAACTAGTGGTGTCAAATTAGAGAATTCTTTTCCTGCATACAGAATATGGAAACTATCCTGCCATCGAACTGCAACTCTAGGATCTGCTAGAGAACAGATGGTGGAGTAAAACTGCTGTTGAACAGAGTTGTCTCAAATAAGAGAGTTCTATTTCTGCAAACAAAATATGGAAACTGCCCAGTTGTCAAACTGCATTTTATAGGATCTGCTATAGTTAGCCATATTGGTGGTATTTTAAGATATCAAAAGGTAAATTTTATACCATGTGACCAATTTAATTAATCCTTTTTCGAAGGTAATGTCAAAGACCAGAATGGTGGAGAGGGAGCCAATTAAGTGATAAAAGGGTGATCTCTCTAGTAGTTTTGTGTAAACTGTTAGATAACTACCTTGCAACTCCCCTTGATGGAATTTCGCGCAAACTTGGGAGAGATATAACTGAACTGGGAAAAACCTTCTCCCTTTCAAGCTTAAATTTCTAATGAGCTGGAGTGATTAATTATGAGACAATTGGATGTACTCAAAAGGTGATGTTTATTTGATGTCTTTCTGTTTTTGATTAGATCTTATTCTCTGATAATATATACTAATAAGTATTGAAACAACTTTATACGAGTTAACTAATACACGTTGTTTTTAGGACTGGTTATTGCAATCACGGTTGACTTAATTTGCCTGCAATGACCAGGTTTTGTTGGTTTATGATGAGGTGTTAAAATTGAGGTAGAGTACATAGAGAGCATTTTATCTGTAAGACTCATGCTTGTTATTTGGTTCTGACTAACTAGCAATTACTAATAAGGTTCCCTTCTTCATCATCCTTCTTTTAAGTTTTCTCTCATCAGTTGGTGCAATATATGTAATTGTAGGTGGTATTTACTTGTCTTATGCTTCCACAAGTATATAGCAGGGTTCTTGAGCGAAAAAGATAAGGGTGATATGTGCCCTACGTTACACTCCATAGGATATTTAAGATTGTTTATACTTTTCACTTGAAGTACTTCTCTGTTTGCTATCTTAATATAATGAAACTTGCATCCTATAAAGGTTTACTATTACTCTGTTTTGTCTTATTTTGGAAATGTTTCTTTCATTACATTAATATGGTAAGGTTTATGCTTGTCGGAAAAATAATCCTGAGAGTAATTTTACTCAAAATCTAGATAAGGATAATTATGTAGATTATAGGTAAGAAAGCAAGTGGATGCATAAGAATTAGATGTCTTTTTCTTGGCTAGTTTGAACAGATATGTTTATCCGATTCTGGACGTTCTCCAACGTTATAGTTTTTTTCTTCTTTTTCTTTGAACTATTTATTCAGAAGATTATGCATGCACTGCTAGTCTATGTGTATAGGTACTGGAAATGTTCCATTGTTTCAATAGATGTACTAGTGTTACTTGTATCCCAATAGATGCCAATTCTCACGATTTCATCGATCACGTTATAGTTTCTCATTTATATCGATTTCTGTTTAATATTTGAGGTGTTCATTCAAGGTTGCTATAGGATTTAGGCCTCATCAAAACATCCTGTCTTAAATTTAGGGCCCATGATGAATATGAAGTCTCAAGTATCGATAAGCTTCAAAGACAAATCTAATCAAGTCCTAGATATGGAGCTTTGTGGCTAATTCATGTCTTAGCCAGTCTTCATATTTTATCTGCTTAACTGGCAATTTACCACAATTGACTCCAAAATGCTTTTGGTCCTCTGCTGTATGATAAGGATTGATCGAAGATAGAGAATGTAAGTCGGGAACTTTCTGTTCAACATCAATACAATTACATGAATGAATTCATATACAAGAACTGGTGCAATGTCTACTTTCACCAACTGCACAAGAAAATGGCCAAACATACAGAGAACCCAAATTTGAACAATACATACAAACACACTTTCACATACTGACATTTACCAAGGGATGTTCTGCTATACATCAAGAATTCACTTTTCAATAGCTGTCTAGTCACTTTGGTATCTTCTTAGAAAGGGAGTATACAGAGAGGAGAACAAGCAGCACAAGCATAACACTCGCGAACAATGAGACTCCTATAGAAGCTCCAAGATATCTGCAGAACTTGCCATACAGTGTGCAAATCTCTCGCCACCCCACATAAGTGTTGCCTTTTAGTCCTATGTAAGTCACCGATCCTGCTGCTCCGGTTGCTGATGCCACTATTCCTAGCAAAAGCTGCAAGTTTACACAAACATTAAGCTAGTGAGTTCTGGTAAACTCAAGATTTAATCAATAAACGTGCCATAGTGACAGTGAACAATATTCTAAGTACTCCTCGCGTGTCTTGACTGTGATAGTATAGTCCATACCAAAATTTCATAACCTACTTCCTAAAACCATTGTATGGAAATAGTGATACGCGCTCGAGAGGCCTCAAGCACAACACACACTACCTTGGAGATACCTAATTCCATCTTAATTTATCGTTGAAGAAAAAGGCGATCAGAACTTACCACATCAATGACAATGAAGTGGGAAATGATCTTTGCACAGCAACCAGGCTTGATGAGGGAGTACAATGAGCCTAGTGTAGTAATTAGGCTGAAGAAACCAGCCACAGAGAGTGCTACTACAAAATAGCTGCAACACACAAATTCATCAGAATTAGCTAGTTTTTTTTTTTTAAAAAAAATTAGTTAGAAATTAAAGATCAATTTTGATCAATATTAATTATAGTCAAAATGAATAAAAAAGATAAACAAGAAAAAATAAGGAAGGTGAAACAGTATAGTCAAGTGTCAAGATATATTATGCATTAAATGATACTATAAAAATAAGAAATTTTGACAGAATCCTAATTATGAGATGTGAGTCCAAAAATATAATTTTGCCAGTTGAGGCAGCTGCAAATCCACTTGCTAATTGTTTTCTAATCATATTTTCAGATTTATTATTCAAAATTCGAAAAGAATAGATATACATGAAGAAAAAGTTAGCTTTGCAAATTGCAACCACCCCGTTCTGCATTTATTCAAAGGAAAATACATATACAAAGTTCCAGTCAATATTGAGAACAACAAGAAAAAAAAAAAAAGGAAAAAAATAGTGAGGACTAGGTGAATGCGAAATACTCTGTGCATCAGCTTAGAATAATCTCGAATTTATTGTCGTCACAAGTTAAGGCAGCAAGAAGTCCTATAAATCGTGTTCCAACAGATAATAGTAAAAAGTTATGCGTTTTACATCAAACTAAATTATACATGCAACATGTTTCCGCATACACTGTCAACACAAAACCATAGGTATTAATTTATTTTCTCATCTTAATTCATGACATAAAACTATAGTAAATTATTATCTTTCTTTCGTTGAGAAGAAAGTGTAACTAAGATATTTCATTTATTACCACGGGCCTTAGTCTAGCTTACATACCAACTAGTACTATCTTCTCAACGCATGACCAAATTAAATGAGTACTTTTTCTTTTTAGAGTTTGTTTGGATTGACTTAAAAGTTGGTTAAATATATTTTTAAGTTAATTTTAGCTTTTGAAAGCGTTTGACAAATTTAAAAATAACTTAAAAATCAAAAGTAGGTCTACCCCTATTTTTTTTTATCTTTTTTGACTTAAAAGTCATTTAAATATGACTTTTTATTTATTTTTATTTAAAAGCTATTTTTTTAAGTCAATCAAAACGTACTCTTAGTAATATTGTATTTTCAGAATTTATTAGCATGTCCTACTATTGGTATTATCTAGGGGTGTACAAAATCGAACCGAAAACCAAACCAAATCGCAAATCAAGTCAAAAAACCGACTAGTGGTTGGTTTGGTATTGAAAAAAAAAATCCGACTATATTTGGGTTGGTTTGGTTTTAACTAAAAAAAAACCAACCCGACATTATATATATAATTTTAAAATTTTATTTATACATAAAAATATTTACTTTGATATAATTTTTAAATATTTCTTATATTTTTTCATAGTTTTTATCTTTTAATATATTATTTCAA